AGGAGAAAACAGTACTGACACTAATACTGCGTACGACAACCAGAAGCTTATTTCTGGATGCAGCAGGCAGTAAGATGAAGAAAGCACTGAACAGTGAATTAAATTAAGAATTTTTAACTGTTTATAAACCGACCCCACTTGCTTAGTCATCAAATTGTGTCAGCATGAAAAGTGAAAATTAAACAACTTTAAAAAAGTCTTTCTTAAAAGGAACTCTACAGATCACATACAAAGTTCATAAATCACTTGACCCCTGAGGAAGCTTATAAAAATGAATCTATTTCTCTCTCCTGCTTTTTTCTTTGCTTGTCCCGGTTAAGCTGTAGTTTGAAAAATATAATTCAATTTTAAGATGCATTCTTTTTTTCTAAAAAATCGACCTCTTTAACGTGTAAATAGGTCTGCAAAATGAGTTTATCAAAGCAAACCATTATTTGCTTCGTAAGAGACACTTCGCTTATTAGTAAGGCGTAAAGTAAAGATCAAATTTTTAGTCACTGTATACATTTACTACCAAATATTACCTGCTTTTTGTGGCATCTTGTATATCTGCTTAAACTTATACAAATTTAAAGCTTGTCAAACCAAGGTGATAAAAGAATTTGCTTTGTCAGTTGACTTAACGATTCGCGCAAACACCATAGCCAACAACTGACTTGACTTTAGCATTATTCTGCAAAACGCTTACAAGGGCATCTTCTTTTATAATCAGCTCTCAGCTATCCATGTCAAAACGCTTAAGATATTGTACTAGGAATTAGAAGACTATGAAAAAGTGATCAGTGTAGTTCGACCTGATTTGAGCCACAGAAGATTACACGCTGCTTGTATAAAAATAATTCTTGAAAGTTTTGTTTAAAAATTTGACAATGCACCTAATTTTTTTGCTCTTTTTGTTTTTTTCTCTTACAGCTGATTGCTTCTGTTACATTATAAAAAAATCAGCTAGCAGCAAAGCTGTTTTTTTTTTTTGGAAAACTTTGCGCTTACCGTTTCATTTCCTTCTTTTCAAGTTATTTAACTGTCAAAAAAAGATATTTAGTTACAAATAATGTTTGTTCTTCTTACATTTTTAAGATTCAGTTTTCAAAGTTTTATACGTTTATTTCTTTCTTTCTCTATTCGTTGCTTGACCCTTTTGGTAAGCGATAAAAAAGTCAGGAGTGAAGAAGGAAATGAAGATAACTTTATTTTATCAAGAAAAAAAGTCAATTTAAATCAATTTACCTTATCGCCGTCATTCAATGTTAGTTGCAATTTTATTAAAAGCAATCTCTGCCTTATTTTGCAAAAAAAACTTGTCTATTATGAACGTATTTTCAGTTCTTTGATCTAAAGGTACTTTGTCCCATCAGAGTCACAAAGTGCAAAGACAAAAAATTGCTTTAGTTATTTAGAAATTGATTTCCTATTAATGTCTCTGGTTGAAAAAATCTGTTTGAAACAGTGACAAACAGTTATAAAAATTATAAAATTTCACAATAAAGAGATACATGTTTTTGAAGAATAGAAATAACTCTAAGACTACGTAGACTTATACGCCATATGAATTTCCAACAAAAGATATATGAAACTTAAAGTAACGAACAGCTAACAATACAGTGATTTCTCTAAGTAGTAACATAATTTTTAATTTTTTCTTTGCTTAAAAAAGTATAAAAACAAAAAAAGGATCAAATGATAGTTTGTAGTTAGGACCTCTTGCACTTTGACGGATCCATGGGGAGGGTCCTCCTTCAAGGCGTCGGTCTGCTGCTGCTGCTGCTGCTGCTGTTGTCACATCATCACTGTTGCTGTCGTTGTTTAACAGAGACCATCTTCATTATTTTTCCGTTCTAAGTTTTGCTTTTTTTCTATGTTGATTTATTGGAAAGCATAGTTTCACAAAAATTTTCTTTTCTTTGCTAATAATTTTCTTCAATTTTTTTTCCATTTGTTCTAAAAAAAAAAAGAAAAGAAACGAAATGCGCACAAATTGAAGCTACTTTTTTCTACTGATTAATAAATCTAATTATTTCAGTAATATTAATAGGTAAGAGGAGAAGAAAAAGTCTTTTAAAAAGAAAAAAAAGTCTGAAACAGACTTCTAACTGTTCGGCATCAACTTTGCCTCGTTAAACATCCTTCTAAAAAGGTGCTTGCAGACGTTGGCTGTTTGCTATCACATTGCCGTACAACTTGCATTTTTTCTTGTCTTTTTACCTTTTCTGCTGATTTGTTTTTCCTAATTTTTCCACTTTTTTACCTCGTCTTTTTCTTTTCTTTTTCTGTTTTTTTTCTTTCTTTTTTCTTTTGTTTTCATCTTAATCTATTAGTCTTTTTTATTAGTTATCACTTTTGTTCAAGAAAAAAAGAATACGTTTTGCAGAAGTTTTTGAAGGACTCTCGGAACTGTACAGTAGTGAATCGGTGACAATGATTTTTACCCACCACAGCCACTTTAGACGTTGGTACACTCGAACAGTCTCAGTTTCTTTGGCTAAAGTTTATCTCCACTTGACCTGCGGTCATACTTTGATTCACCCACTGTACAACTTAGTTGTAAACTGACACCCAAATTGGCAATATCGTTTAAAAAATATGGTATGAAGAAAATTATTTATTAGTCTATACCCAGTATGTTG